CACTTTTATTAACACTTTGGGAAATTTTCATACTCATATTCCAAGAAATGGATTTTATACGAATTTTTAAAACTTAATCGGCGAGAATTGCAAAATTCGAAAAAATTATCGACCATTTCAAAAATTTATTTCTCAAAAAGTAAAAGCGATTTTTCAAAACGGCTTGTTGTATTAAAAAGAGGATACTTTAATTAATAATTAGTGATATATCCGCAAGGATCCTTCAAGAAATTAATTTTATAGCGAATTTTTAAAATTATCGATATAAATTGCAATTTATCAAAACTTTAAATATTGTTTTCTCAAAAACTAAAACTTATTTTTCACAACGTGTTGGTCCATTAGAGAAAGGACACTGTTATTAACACTTTGGGAAATGTTCATACTCATATTCCAAGAAATGGATTTTATACGAATTTTTAAAACTTAATCAGTAAAAAATGCAAAATTTACAAAAATTGTCGATCATTTCAAAAATTTATTTCTCAAAAACTAAAAGCGATTTTTCATAACGGCGTTTTGCATTAAAAAGAGGATACTTTAATTAATAATCGAACGTGATAACAGCGACAGTTCTCTTAGTAATGAATGTAATGGTGAATTACAAGCGAAGAGAAGGAAACTAGACGAAACTGCGACAAGAGATTTTATATATCGTATTGGGATTGTTACAATGAGGTTGCTAAAGACAAACCTGATATAAATAAAGCTGTATTCAATGAAAAAAGTCCTATTGGGGTTGAACATTATTATTTGCAGTGTCCAACACCTAAAAGAGATACTAATTCCTGTGAATGGTGGAGTACTAAGTAACAGATTTTAATATAAAGAAAGCATATTTCTATCTAAGGAAGCTTCTATCCTCATAGAGCGTATCTGTCTTATAATATCAATAATTAATTATGTAATACTTACGTCTTGTCACAATTTAATTATATGGCACCAATTTACCATGCTGCGGACGACATATGATACGTCTTATCGTATACGGAAAATACAAAATTGCTGCCTCCGTTACATCTAGGGAATCAGGAAGTATGACCGAGTATCGCCACGATATCTCTATGACAAAATTGCATTTAACTCAAATGACGGAAGATATCCAACCAGGTTTCTATAAAGTCTATAAATCTTACGGGAGATCAGACTAAAGTCTGGAATCTTTTTATTTTATGTATATATATATATATATTTAATTATATATACAGTGTGTCCCAGGATAGATGTTACAAGAGGTATAATGACTTAAAAATTTTTGAATTTTATTTTAAGGCTGAGGAATTAAGCCCTGCTTGGTATGGAGAGAATTTTACGTATATTTTCATATTTTGAAAATCGACTCGGCCTTGATAGTGACGCGAAAACTATTTTTAGTTGAGGTAAAGTAAGATTTTTGTTCATGGTACGGCAAAATATCATTAAGGAAAGCTGTTCAGAATGAAAAATTATGGCATTATGCAAAATTTCAGGAAGATCTATCTACATTGATTAAACTACCATATTTTAGATTAGATCAGAGTGAAGAAAAAAAAAACAATGAAAAATGCCAAGAAAAAAAATGACTTAAGTAATCGCAAATATTAACAAATAAATTGTATTATACGTCAGTTTTAGTTCACATTTCAGTTACTATACAATATTTATATTATTTAAACTAAAATGTGATGGTTCAACCAAACTAGATAGATCCTTCTGAAATTTTGTATATGACCGTAATTTCTCATTTTGAACAAGTTTTCTTAATAAAATTTTTCCATATCATGAACAAAAAGATTACTTTACCTAAACTAAACATAGTTTTCGAGTCACTGTCAAGGCCGCCTTTGTTTTCAAAATATGAAAATATTCTTAAAATTCTGTTCACACCAAGTAGGGGTTAATTCCTTAACCTTAAAATAAAATTCAAAAATTTTTAAGTCATTATACCTCTTGTAACATCTATCCTGGGACACACTGTATATATATATAGTGTGTTAATTAATTATCGTACCCGACGTCATCATTGCAAGTATGCAACCAATATCACAGTATAGGTATTGCAATACGCGATTTGCGTATTTGGTTGCATTCGGGTACGATAATTAATTAACACACTGTATTTAGTTATATGGTGCACAATAAAGTTTATTATTATATCACGCAGACACCAAAAACATCGGGATGTGCATCGGGTAAAATAATAATTTTTTTATAATTTACAAAAGTTTAATAGTGACTATAAATACTATTTACAATAAAAATTCGGCGGAACAACGCTCCTTTTTATCCCTTTCCTTAAGTATTCTTAAAATGCTTAAATGATTCATTTTTTCGGCGATTTTCCATACAGTTTCTCCTTGATTATTTTTAATATTAAAGTCACAACCCTCGCTTAATAACATTTCAAATATTTCCAAGTCGTTATTATAAACGGCGTAATGCAGGGGTGTATTTCCAAAATGATCGCGAGAATCAATTAAGCAATTACCGCATTTTAATAACTCTTTAACTATTCGCTTTCTTTTATATTTGCAAGCCAAATGTAACGCGGAATATAAATCTTTACAAGTTTTCGAATTTATTAAAGCGCCGGAATCTAAAAGTAATCGTAAAATATCTAATCGTCCAAATTTGGCGGCTATGTGTAAAGGGGTGTAACCTTCGGGGTTACAAGAATTTATATTGAGATTATTTTTTTTATTTTCTAATGAAATTGACTGGGAATTATGTGAATAATTTTTTTCGAAACATTTCTCGCAATTACATAGAGGATGGCAATTATTTACTGAAAACTGTTGTAAGTTAGGTAATGATATGCCAATGTAAAAACAAGTTAAAGGCATATCGTTATTTTCGATAGCTTTTAAAAGTAAATCCATTTTTTTGATTTGGTTAAAATTTTTGGTTGTTGAATTATTTGTTTCTTCCTTTTGAATTTGAATAATAACGTAGTCGTTTATAATCATATTATTTATTAAAATATCTTTAATAAAACTATTATGAGCCAACGATAACGGCGTTAAACCTTTTTTATTCACTTTATTTATCGCCCCAAAATCGACGAGGAGTTTAACCAAGTTTAAATACCCAAATTTAGCCGCGAAATGTAACGGAGTGTCGTTGCTATTATTTAAACAATTAACATCGATATTTTCTCCATTGTTATTTGTAAAAAATAACAAAGCTTCGACGCAATTCTCGTGTCCGTTTTTAACAGCAACGTGTAAAGGCGTATTTCCTTCTTCAAAATCTTTTAAATTAGCGTTACAACCCGAATGTAATAATAAAAAAGTTCCGTGTTGATTTCCATAACTAACCGCGTAATGCAAAGGGGTGTAACCTCTAAAATCGGGGGAATTTATATTGAAACCTTCGATGATTAAAAAATGAATTATATCGGGATGATTATATTTAGACGCGTGATGTAAAAAAGATGCACCTTTTTCATCAATTTCGCAATTTTGATTTGCTTTTAATAAAATTTCACACGAATCGCAGGAGCATAAGGGATGACAAAGCTGATTAATGAAATTATTTTCTACTTTTAAAAAAGATTTTTTAATTAACATCGTTAAATTGCCGTCTTTTATTAATTTAATAATCGAATTAAATGAATTCTTTTCCAGTTGCTCGTTTATTTTTAAATCATTTTCGGTTATAAATTTTAAAGCGGCGTTTAATGTTGTTATTATGAAATCGTTTTCATCGCAAAAGTTGGCTTTGCTAAAATGGAAGTTTGTTATAAAAACTAAATTTGCGATCCAATTAAAAACGTTCGACTTTATTATTAAAAAAATAAAGATTTTTAATAAAATTTCGGCGTCCACGCCTTTTAATATATTAAAAACGCGTTTTAAACAAATAATTTTGTTTAAAACGACGTTTCCGTTATTAATTTTGTTTAGTTCTAAGCGTGCCAATGGGATTATCTCGAAATATTTTTCTAATTCAAAATTTTTTAGTGATATTTGTTGGGAATTTCTGATTATTTTGTTGATATTCGCATCGCTTGCTGCTGTATAATCGCAAATATAATTAAATAAATGTTCTTTTAAACATACTTGCATAAATGATTCAACTGATAGTTTTAAATTTTTCATCAAGTTGTCATCCTGTTCATACCCAAAAGTTAAAGCAACCTCAAAACAATTATCAAATAAATCTTTAATATCATTTTGTAAGCGTTTTATATCAAAATCATCGCCATTGAAATGGTCTTTTGATAAAAATATTTCTACCAAACTATTAATCTCATCCAAAACCAAACAATTATCATTCCACAATAAATTTATACAATCTGTAAAATTATTTATCTGTATACTCTTTAATTCAAGATTTTCAATATTGCCAAATAAAAATTGGTCAATACACCAAATAGAAAATTTTGAATTTTTAATAACAAAATCCTCATAGAACAGAATTGAAACAGTTCTATTTTCATATATTAAATTATTGCCTTCTTTCTTAACCACTTTCCCGGTTAAATTGCGATATTCTAAACCTCGTATTAAAATATGTTCCAAAACGTCAATCTTTGTTAATTTTAAATCACTAAATGATCCTTTTCGAGGTATGCAAATGATCCAGTTGTTATCTGATGCCGTCCGAAGAACATCATGAAAGTTTTTCTTCAGTTGTTTAAAAAATTCATTTTCATTCAAGTTTTCATCATACTCCGTCCCCATCGTTAATAATTTCTAAGACCAATTTCAAATTAATAATTAATTGAGGGTTGAAAGTAAAAAAAAAAAAAATACTTACTTATTTGAAACCTTTTAAAAAGGTAAATTACAAAAACTAAACATTGTACGAGTATTAAATGTCACTGAAATGTCATAATAACAATCGAATATGAACCTACTTTATCGGCTTATGCCGCCATTTAAAAAAACGAAAACTATTTTACCAGCCTGCTATGTACAGTGATTCCAAAAATTATTCGAACAGACAACAAGCCCTTGTTTATAGTATCCTCTTTATAATGCAAAAATCCGTTTTGAAAAATCACTTATAGTTCTTGAGAAATAAATTTTTGAAATAATCGATTTTGCAATTTTCGTCGATTAAGTTTTAAAAATTCGTAAAAAATCCATTTCTTGGAATATGAGTTTGAAAATTTCCCAAAGTGTTAATAAAAGTGTCCTCTTTCCAATGACCGAACCCGTTTTGAAAAATAACTTTTAGTTTTTGAGAAAATAAATTTTTGAAATGATCGACAATTTTTTCGATTTTGCAATTTTCGTCGATTAAGTTTTAAAAATTCGTATAAAATCCATTTCCTGGAATATGAGTATGAAAATTTCCCAAAGTGTTAATAAAAGTGTCCTCTTTCCAATGACCGAACCCGTTTTGAAAAATAACTTTTAGTTTTTGAGAAAACAATATTTGAAATTTTAATAATTTGCAATTTTCATCGATAATTTTCAAAATTCGCTATAAAATTAATTTCTTGAAGGATCCTTGTGCAAATATCACCAATTATTAATTAAAGTATCCTCTTTTTAATACAACAAGCCGTTTTAAAAAATCACTTTCAGTTCTTGAGAAATAAATTTTTGAATTGATCGACAATTTTTTCGAATTTTGCAATTTTTATTTGAATCATACATCATATATGTTAATGTTGGAATAGGTCAACCGGGTAGCGAATCTAGAAGTATAGAGTGCAAAAAGAAGCGGCCCCAGGACCGAACACCAAAACCAACAATAACTTCTTGCGATTCCCGATCACCAACTCTTACCTTTTGTGTTCTACTTGTTAAATAGTTATCCATTAGTTCCACAGCACTTCGACCCAGTCCCAATAACCCCAGTATGCGGCAAAGTAATGTATTTGCCGAGTGCCTTAGAGAAGTTCAACAGGATCATCACTATGATCTGCACGAAAATTGGATTGCTGAACTGGTAACAAGCTGTTCTGTTCAATATAACGAATTATGTGAATTTTTTGTTAGCCTCGCCCAACGCAACATCGGCACAAAGAAATTATTTATGTCATCAGGATTCTGCAACTGTATGGGTATATATATTGATGAGTGAACCTGATATAAATAAAGTTGTATTCAATGAAAAAAGTCCTATTGGGGTTGAACTTGATTATTATATGCAGTGTCCAACACCTAAACGAGATTCTAATTGTTTAATCTTACATTTTATTTGCCGAAAAAGTATTCCAATATATAATTACACCAAATTAAATTTTAAAATAACAACAAAAATATATAGATATAAAATTTTACAAACTATTCATATATTGATTTTTGACAATAATATAACTCCAGTTTTGCAACACCAATGTTTCTAATCGTGTAAGTTGATCCTATTGGAACTCGTACATAAAGTAAACCAACGGTTTCTGGTGTGATATATTGAACCGTAGCTGGATTGTTAATTGTGTTATCATTATTCTTGATTGTAATACTAAAATATCCACGATCAGCTTGCATTAGATGCTAGAAAAGAAATTATTTTGGATAAATTCATATAAAGAAATCTAAAAAATACCATTTCGCTGTTATGTAAAACGTTTTTAGTTTCCATTAAAGGATATATCATTATTCGACCGGTAATACGATCGTTGAAGCGACCATCAGAACTGCTAATTTTAACAAATGATGTGTATACTCCAAATTCTGAGGAACCAAAAAATTCGTTCTCGTAATCTAGAATTAAAAAGAAATATTTTAATCTTTAATTTTATATTTGCTTGTATTTATTTGAAAATTACCTTCATCTTTCTTTCTATCCATGTGTGCAATAGATCCATTTAAGTTTTCTTCAGAAATAATTTCAACACTACTGTTCATACCAACGTTCGCACCAACGGCGTAATAATATTCTTTTAAAAAGTATATAAAACTGTTATAATTTCACAATTGTATTGAAAGAATAAGACGTTACACTAAGTCTCTAGCGCATAAGAGTTAAAATACAATAACAAGAAAGCGCATGCGAATAACATCTTGTCTCAAGTTTAGTTTTTTTGTGTTTTTTTTGGTACAAAAGCTAGTTTAAAAAGTACTTTTAACAGAATGTTTTAATATTTTGAATTATTTTAGATATATTAAATTCAATCATACAATACTATAATAGTTGTAGCTATGTTGCTTTGTTTCCTCTCATAATGAACGTTAGGTGTGTGAGCCTTTTTATGAAATTTGAGTTGTCCAGAAATGATTGAAGTATGAGTATTGTGACGCTTTTCGAAATACATTTGTTTCTAGTGGATAGTGAGGTTGGAAATATACTAGGAAAATATACGTCTTTAAAAGGGATGGAGCAGTGTAGGCATTCATTATAAAGATTGTTTATGGAAGGCTTTCTTTAGTTTGCATGTTGGATTCGACATTATTATTGAACCTCCTCTGGCATTTGTTGTTTGGAAGCCTTGTCTTTGGATAGTATCCCAGTTTCTGTATTCAATAGTGTGGTCTGTCTTCATTTTGGTTTCTGTAAGTAGGGCTAGGTCAATATCGTTTTATTGTATGTAATTAAAAATTAGATGCTTTTTTTGGTAAAGCTGATATTTCCATCATCATTTGGTTGCCGTTGATCGTTATGTGTCGATAACGAAGTCGTGTGTGGTAATTGGTTTGTGTATTCTAGAGTTTTGGGTTATTGAACTTTCCATTTCATTGGTTTTCTTGTTGGCGGATGTATTTTTTATTGATGGGATTCTTTCTATTGGTTGTGTTGGTTGCTTTTTGCATTTGAAGGATCACGCTTGGTGACCTTCTATCCCGCATGCTCTGCAAATTTCGGGTAAAGTTGTGGGGACATTTATCTGTTCTGCGTTTTTCCTTGCGTTTACCGCAGGTTATTATTTCGTCACAGTTTTAGGTTATGTGGGAGAATGATGAACATTTGGCACAAGCTATTGGTGCTGGTGGAGGCGCATCGCTTACTATTATTTTATAATGATTGAACATCAAGCATTTACATCTCCTGTTATGATTCGGACTTTAAGTGTAGGTTTACAATATCTGTGTCTAATGTTTTTTTCTACTAGAAATGCGCTTAGAGCGTCATCTTTTATTTCTGTTTCCATATTGCAAATTATTGCCGAGTATGATTCAGTATTTTCATGTTTGGATGCAAAGTTTCTTGATTGACTTTCTTTATATTCGGATATAGTATTTTTTATTTTTTAGTGAGTCTAGTAAGATTTTTACATCAGGTTTTGAAGCCTTGCTTTTTAAGAGAAATCCGTCTCTATTGATTCATTATGTTGTATTCTTTTTGAATTTCAGTCTATTTTAATGCTAGTTCTGCACGGGTTAAAGATTTAATAATAACAATAATAATAATATTTATAACCCCTATAACAAAATACTTAAAAACAAAAATTAAATGCCATGAGTTAAAAAGGACCAAGTCACCATTCCCAATGGATCAGCAGTTTTTCATTGGTCCTTTTTCAACATTTTTTTATATATAAACTTAAACTTCATGACGGCAGAACGGCATAATTGAATGTCATCAACGTACATGTGCGCAGTGCAGTGCTTTACAGCCAAACACAGTTGGGAACTATAAATTGAGAACAGAATTGGGCCAAGAATAGAACCCTGCGGCACACCCGACACGACCTCAACTTGTGCAGATAACTCACCATTACAAGCTACTCGCTGTGAACGGTAATAAAGATAGCTCTGAATAAGATTGAGAGCAGACCCCGACAGTCCAATATACCCAAGCACTCCAACCAACAGCGAATGATGCAAAGTATCAAAAGCTTTGGAAAAGTCAAGCAAGACCAGAACCGTGGCCAACGCAGAACATCATCCGTGATATCCAAAAGAGTCGTAGTGCAGCTATACCCAGAACGGAAACCTGACTGCAAGCTAGGTAGTATGTACTGCGCATTTAAATGTGACCACAACCTAGTGGACAATAATCTTTCAAATACTTTGAAGATGTTCATCTGTATGGATATATTTTTTTTAAAATGTAATTGTATAATAAAAGTTATGTATACTTAAAAATTGAATAATAATAATAAATGTATTTCTTAAACACATCATTCTGTTGTTTGTATTTCACCTTCAATTCATCAATCTGCTTAAATTCAATCTAATCTGTAATTTGTATTATTTACATTATAGTCAACTTAAATGTTAGTAAATCCTATTACAGTGAAAGCTCTAATAAGCGGACAGCGACGGTTCCGTTACTTTTGTCTGCTTATCAGAGATGTCCGCTTATGAGAAAAGACTACTCAAATTAAAGTACATACACATACATGTATTATTTTGATCAGTTTTCGAAAATTTCGCTTTAATAAAACAAACTTTTTTTTATATTTTAATTTTTTTTTATTAAAAACGAACGTTCATACATAAAAAAGGTAAACTTAAAACTAAAACTATTTATTTTTCGTTTGAATAAAATCTAGTATATTGCTTTGCAGCAATGAAGTTTCTCTTTGTAATTATAGACAACGTTCAATATGTGTTTCTAAATTTTTCACATGTTGAAATGCAGTAAAATCATTTTTCACGAATGATTTTAGTTTGGAAATTACATTCAATGCTTCTTTATAAGATGTGATTGGATTACGTTCCTCGTCCTCCTCCACCTCTACCTCTTCATTCTCTTCCTCTTCTGTCTCATTTTCAACATTTTTTGTGACTACCGAAAATTCCAAGTCATTATCTTCTATATCGACGTTTTGATCAACAGTTAAATATTCTTCTGCTGTTTTTACATTATCTATTCCCAGTCTTTTACTACATTTAGACAAATCAGCTAGTCTCGCAAGTAGCAAATTATCTTCAACATCGTAGTTACTGTCAGTTGAACTTCCTTGATCCATCAGAAATCCAGCTTTTTTAAAACAATTTCTAAT